ACACATACATATATATATACATATATATATACATATAGATAGATAAAGAGATAGCTAGATAAATAGATAGAGAGAATTTCCAGATTTGTATTTTTTTAAAAAACACTCGTTCACGTGCCTTTTCAGGACCGTGCGCAGCCTCACGGGCGCGTGATGTCACGCATTACGTGTTACGTGACTCTCCTCTTCAGAAGCAGATGATCGTGAGAGATGATATGAGTTGCTGTGTTGTTGATGTTACATGCTCTCACGATCTTGCCTTAAGTTTTTAATGTTTTCAGTGTGTAGATGTTACGTTTACTTTCACATTACAGTTCAAACACCACACCATGAAATTAAAGCAGTTTCAATTTTTAATTCTCACCACTCAGAACATTCCTGTACTCAGATTCCCAAAAGCCACAAACAGCTGCCACAGAGCACACACACTAACATTAAAACCATAACCCAGTAAAGCGTACAGACAGACTGCACTTAATAACAAACACCTCTAACGACACTGCTTGAAATACTTGATATTCAGAACTGTGCAAAGAAGTTACCATTAAATTAAAGCTACATATACAACTATGTTTTCCAGTTTGCTCTGGTCTGGACCAGAATTTATCAAAATTTCTGAATATGTCAGTCCTTGAGATGTGGACAGAGTCATTCAGTGTGGTTTGGTGTGAAATGCTCTGTTCTTGAGAATCTTGGAATTGTTCATAGTGGTGGTGATAGGAACCAGACGTCCACCTCTAAAAACTCCCTCACAGAAAGTTACTACATGAGATGGTTATGAATTGTTTAAAACATCTAAAGTTTTATGAAAGTTTTGGCCTAAAATGTTTTTTGTTTTTTAATATGAATTCATGGTGGAATTAATTTATTACATGATTTGGTTTTATTTGGTTCAATTACGCCTCCCACCCAATGACAGCTGGGATAGGCTCCAGCACCCCCGTGACCCAGAAGGATAAGCGGTTTAGAAGATGTGTGTGTGGTTCAAATACATGAAATGGTTATGAATATGCTGCCTGATGTTTGACACATTGTTTTACAGTAGTTCTGCGAAGGTTATGGTCTAAAACATATTTTCTAAAATCCATTCATGGCAGAGAGATACATGCAGGGTGCTGTGAGGCAAAAGAAGTTATTATTTTTTCAGGTTTACCACTATTTTACCATCATCAACATTCCATATAAAACCTGTGTAGGTTCACTGGTGGTTTTGGATAGTAAATAAAATGTCTTTATTTGTGTTGTAGTCATGGTGACCCCTGGTTTCTATCACCACCAATGTAAAGAAATCTGAGTCTCTACAATCAACGATTTCACACCAAACCACTCTGAATTACTCTGGTTACATCTCACAGTTTGACTTCTGCAGAAATTTAAAAAAATGGTGGGGTTCTCCTTTAAGGAGTGTGTGTGAGACAATTAGGCCATACAGGCTGGTCTATAGTCTGTAATCCAGCATATCATTAACTCCAGTGGCACTCAAGCTTTTGCACTTGTGTCATTTTAGGAATGACCCTCATAAGCATGACAGCAGCTGCTTTGGGAGGCCTCGAGAACATCTTTAGAGTTGTGTGCAGTGCCTTTCGTCATTTGATACGGTGGGCGGCGTACTATACACCAGCCTGAACTCCAGCAGGACGAGACTAGCGGATGCCCTGCAATGGCCTGCTCTTCAGCGGGTAGTTCCCTAGGCATGTGCTGGCTGCCTGCAGCTTTTTAATGAACAGGTGATCCTGGGTTTTGACTGTGGGCTTCTGCTCAGGCTGCAGGTTCTCCTTGCTGTCGCCTGCAAAGTGGACCTTCTTCTTCCCTGGAGAGGTGTTCTCATTCTCACCTGTAAGAACAAGAACAATTATCACCACGAAACATGTACCCGTACGATTTGAACTGCAGTGCAATGCTATCTAACAGAAATGTAATATATGTAGTATAAAGCAGACAGTTCAGCTCCTGAAGTCTGACCTGGGCTGAGCTGAGTTTCAAAGCTGCTGTTGTAAAGTACTTGGTATACACATCACCTTTTAAACACACCAACAGTTTAACTTCTTGTTTTTTGGTTAGATCTACCTTCAGTACTATTAAACCCGCATAGAGGCACTAGTGAAAATGAGCAAAATTAGGTGAGAAAAGCCTACACTCTTTAAAAATGATGCTTCTTCAAGAGTTCTTTAGTAAAGGAAATAGTTCTATATAGAACCATGAACACTCAAGTAAAATACTATTGTTAAAAGCCAAAGAAACTTTTTTTTTTTTTTACTGTGGATGGTTCTGTAAAGAACCTTTTTGAAAATGGTTCTATATAGAAACAAAAAGGGTTCTTCTGTTGTGACAATGCCAAGCCTGTACCAACAGAAGAACCCTTTTTGGTGCTATATAGAACTTTTTTCAAAAAAAATTTCCATCAATCTGAAGAACACTAATCGTGCAAAGAACTCTTTAATCATGCACAGGGTTCTTTGAGTGTTCGTGGTTCTATATAAAACCTTTCTACTTACTAAAGAACCCTTGAAGAATCATAAGTGTGTACTTATGGTGAACGTTTCAGCATTAAACCACTGCAATGTTATATTTTCATTAGGATGTGACAAAAATTGTTAAATAAATGACTGTGGTTTACAATGACGAGTGACAAAGCTTAAACTTTTTTTTCCTTTTTACAAGCTCCTCTTAAAGTTAACATTTTAGAGATATGAGGTTTTATTCTGATAGCGACACTTTGTTAAACGAACTACATTTCATGGTGGCAGAATTGTTCGAAATCACTGCACATTTCCCTTTTCAGACTCTCCAAAAGATGCAAGACAAAGCTGTTTGTCATGGCAATGAAAAAAAAACTTAAATGCTTTCAACTGAACCTACTTTTGAATGCAAGTTACTCAGAGTAAATGAACCAAAGCATGTGAAACCTAACATGGGAGTCTCTGGATTTACAGAAAAGCAAAGTAAATCTCATCTTTTCGCCTTCAGTATTTCCTCCATGTCTTCATCACAGCACATATAACTTGTTTTTATTTAAATTAGACTTTCTATTCATGTTAAATTGAAATACATTGGGAATTGTTTGACAAAGCTAATGTAACAGGGCATAAAACAGTGGAAAAGATTTGATCACAGCATGTCCTCACAAAGTCACTCTGTTGTAGTAAGGATGTGTTGTGGTAAAGAATTTTTCACTGTTTTTCTAAAAATTTGTGCGGCCAAAACTGCCCATAAAAGCAGAAACACCAAGAAATAAACTACCAATTGGTGCTGTGCACCACAGCCTGCTGTTATTGATAACGCGTCAAACTTTGTGTGAATGACTGAATGATTGAGTCACTTAACAAGAGCTTCAGTGGCAAATGTCAGTTAGTGACGTATTTGCACTCTTTATTTTTGCATTCTTTATTAAGATCAATGTAATTGTGATTTAAAAATGTAAAACCATACAGTTCCTACATGTTTCACCTTTAAAACATAATTCATTAAACAGTATGCACAAACAAATATGTACCCAGGCAATATATACAAGTAGCTGGTCAGCTTTTCTCTGAGTTCAGAGGATCTAAAGGCCTCCGTTTCACTCCCCTACCTAAAACATCTGAATAGAGTGGATGTGGCGCCCTCTGCTGCCTCATCAGGTTGTATGATTTCATCAGGCTCTCCGCTCTGTGGGCAAAACGAATCAGAAGTCATTTAAGACAAATAATTCAGTTTACGCAAAGGCACTGGCTATTTCAGACTTTCAGATAATACTGACTGCTGAAATACTCATCCACAAAACAGAGCTCATCAGTTCAGCATAGAGAGAAATAAATGGACCTTTATTGGAAATGGATTGAATCTAGTTGTACACTAAACTGCAATGACTATGGATTTATTCTAGGCTTAAACTTAATCTAGGTCTGGGAAAGCAGTCATTAATATTTACTTGGCAAGCTTCTCATCTGATAGTCTCTCTCTGATGCACAACTCCTGCTCCTTTTCTGTCAGAAAAGAGAAAAGACACCATTAATTAACCTTACAGTAGCCACGTTTTCATCCTCTTACTGTGCAAATGGCATCCGATTTTTTTGCTGCCCAGCCTTTTAGCGATAAAAATGCTTGACATAACTAAAACAATAAAATTTTTTTTTAAAACATAAATAACCACATAAACCATATAAATGGTGCAGCATATAGTGATGTTGAAAACCTCTGGAGAACTCCTGCCCTCAAAAATTGTTTTTAAATGGTTACCTCCTCTAGGCTGGCTTATTATGATCATACAGATCGAGTGTGTCACTATATTGTAATATTCCCAATGTAGACAATCAGCATAGACAGTTTTGCACTACAGCTACGAGACTAATGTAGCTAATGTAGCTTATACCCCACCAATTAGCACAGTGCTAACCTAAATCTCAAGGATGTACAATGATATCAGAATTATATCAGTATCAGATGTTTAGATTTGACCATATTTCAAACCGATATTTGCTGATGTATTTATCAAACTCAAGCAGAGCAGACAATTTGGGCATCGCTGGGTTACTGCACTGAAACATATGCATTTTATTCATTTTGCATTCGTAAAACTACATGAATAAATGTTATTTCTTTGTATTGCCAGTCCAGGTACACTTAATCTCAATTTCTACATTTTTTAAATATTTATATATTAACTTGGGCAAACAAAAATATACAGATATTGGCATCGGGCCACGCTCTTGCATTGTTGTTTATTAATATCAAAGTTGTGTAGGTGATTAACTGTTGCTTCTACATTGGAAATGAGGTGAAAAAGCAGAACACTTACGCTCCAGTCTCTCCTCTCTCTCCTTCAGAGCCCGTTCTCGCTCCCGCAGTGCCTGCTCCTTCAGCCGTAGCTCAGCCGCAACGGCGTCCAGCTGTTTATTCTGCCCAGAGTCAGACCTCCGCCGCTGCCTTACCTCCGCCTTCCGCTGCTCTGCCGCCACATAAGAGGAGATTAAACTGCTCTGCAGGATGGAGTCCACTGAGGGACGCAGGTAGTCCTGATAAAAAGAAGAGAACAGTCAATACACAACAAAACGACAAGCTGGCATGAACTAGACACATTTTAAGGGTAAAATATGAGCATTTAAAACAAAAGGCAGACTAGCTGCCAGCTGATCCTGTCTGTATTATTTGTTATGTCCGACTAAGTAATATAACATGTATATATATATATAACAATATAACTCCCTGTTTGCTAGTTTATGATATTAAACTTCCCTCTTGTTCACATTCAAATGATATTTTATTGTTTTTAGTGGAGCAGTCAGAGGACATTCTGCCACACGGTTTAAGACTAGTGTGTGATGATTTAGGCACAATGCTAACTGGTGGGGTAGAAACTTTCATTACTTACATTATAGCTACATCAGCCTCATAGCTCCAGTGTGAAACTAAAGAAGCAAATTTTAGACACTGAACATGTCTTGGCTGATCGACTACATTTGGGCTAAGGGGGAAAAGTGGGTCATTTAGATCTTCGGTCAAACTTGCAGTTTATTAACATTTGCTCTGTCAGTTGAAACTGTTCTGATTGTTTGGGTGTGAAAAGCTGCAACATGTAGAAATGTTTGGAATCACATGTACACTTATTGAATTGTACTGAAATCAGTGTCCAGTTGACAGTTTTTATTTTGTTATGTGAACATCAGCTGAAGTCTGTAGATTAAATCAGGGGTGGGGGAGGGTGGGGGTGGTCCAGCACAGTTTGGTGATTTCCCTGCTCTAGAACACCACCTAAAGATTAAGATTAAAGTCTGCTTTACTGTCATATGTATTCAGAACACAGGACATGCAAAAATACAGTTAAGTTATTATACTACAGCAGCAAGCTCCTACATTTAAAATGTTACAATGTAAGAAACCCCATGCAGAGTAATAAAAACTACTAAATAATACAGTGTAATGCCGAAATATGGTACAATATGTACATGAGAGGTGATGGTGTACTAACTAGATTATGCTACAATATGTACAACATGCACTAGTGCAGTAAATAGGGAGACAGGGTAAACTTCAGCTTCCTGAAGTGATAAAGTGTTGTTCTCTACTCCCTCCGCAGTTCGAAGTTCCCTTCCAACAGAACTTTTTCACTTCCTGCAGTTTGGAATCATCCTTAAACGTCCGAATGCCCTGTGCAGTACACTTTGCAGGGAACTATGAGGGCAATTGGAATGCACCTCAGGAAAAAAAACTGATGAATCAGGGCTGCTCAAGCAAGAAAATCACCAAACTGTGAAGGAATCCAGCCCTCCAAGACTGTAACTCCCCACCCCTGGATTAAGTGTTTTTATGAGAAAGCCATTTTCACAAAGCCCCTAGCGTGCCTGGCTGGACAAAACCTTTGTCTTGACCATACAAAGCATAATCACATGCTTTGGGAGGACATTTTACTGGCATGGTTTGTGTCCATTTTCCCCTTAGAGGGAAAATACACTGCAACTCAGTCTGGTGATTTGGTGGCTGAACAGCTTAATAAGACACTTACTTTCCTTTAATTTGACACCTGAGACAAAAGACAAACCTTTAGATGAAGCATTCTGGACAGGAGCGTGTTCAGCTCTGACGAGTACCGATACGGAATCCTTCTGAACTTCCCCTCTTTGATTTTTTCCGCCAGTTCTTTCTGGTTGTATGCTGTGAATGGGGGGCTGAAAAGGATTCACAGAGTTAAAACATCAAAAAAGTACAAATTCTTCAGAAAAACAGTACATTATCACTCATGGTAAGACTCAAAAGATGTTCATACTCACGACAAAGCACACAGTTCATACAGCAAACATCCTAATGACCAGATGTCTGACTTTTCATTGTACGACATGCGATTCATTTGTTCCTGTTGGCAAAGACAGCATGAATTTACTATAAAAACACAATAAAAGTAATTCAAATGTAATGGAAAATTACACTGTAGTGAATAGTGGTAACACTATACTGTAGGTTAATGTTCACAGGGCTGTATTTATAAAGACTTACTCCAATAGGAGTCGAGTCATCTGTGATAAAGGCTGCCTTATGACAGCTCTGATCAAAATTGACAAAAACCTTTATGACGAATGATGCCTGTTGGAATAAGCCTTTATAAATGTTTATGTAGGGTTATGTCAGTTGTCATGACGAACTTATGCAGGTATCATGTAGCCTTATGAACGCTATCTTAAAATAAAGTGTCACCAAAACTGTATATATAACTGTACATCACTCATGCATGGTATGGTTAGAACAGGGGACACTGCTTACATTGATGCCCAGTTTACATGTAAGCTGTTATTCACAGGATATACTGTGTGTCCACAAGAGAAAGATTAACCTACTTAGAAAGAAAGCACTGAGGTTCCCTGGGGCTTTAATTTAAAAATGAAGTGCAGGACTAGGCTTAATCCCAGTCCAGGAAACAGATCCTATGTACATAAGTTCAAAGTGAGACACACTTACTGGGGACATGTAATAAGGAGTTCCCACAAATGTCTTAGCAAAGCTCGTCTCGTGTTTGAGTATTCGCGCCAGGCCAAAATCACCAAGCTTTACATTCTGTTTGGCATCGAGGAAGATGTTTGCAGGTTTGAGGTCTCGATGCAGCACCGTGCTGCCTCCATTACCCCTGCCGTGACACTCCTTCAGCGCCAGAGCCAGCTGAGCCATCACACGCAAAATAAAGTCCTCCTCCAGATACCTCCTGCCAAAACAATCACACAGACACAGAGGGTCCAGGTTCAAAACGTGCTGTCAAAACTACAGAACAGAGCTTTATAGCCCAGTTTAAGCTGGACAAATTTGCATGATATTAAAGGTGAAATTCTTACATGCAATCTCTTCTCTACACAAAAGTACTTAAGTATAATTAAATGTATAAAGTATAATGAAAATAATACAGTACAGTTAAGTATAAGTTACGTAGAGAACTCTAAATGATTTACACATGAATAAATGAAATCCCAAAATATACCACAATTAAATGCAGTTAGAGGAGTTAAACTTTTCAAATGTCTGGTTCCTGTCACCACCACTGGGAACAATCCTGACTCAGTAAGTTTCTCTAGAACAGAACAACTCACTCCAAACCACTCTATGCAGAAAACCTATACTCTGTCCAGAGGAATTGCCTTTTAAGTGATCAGTAAAATACTGTGTGCATTTCATTGGCTGCTGTGGCTAATGTGTGTTCTACAGATGATGAGTTAATCTGTTTCTACTAAAATAAATAAATAAATAAATATCGACAAAACGTAATTTGACTGGGGTGCCAAAACTTTTGCATACAACTAATTACATAGATCACACACCTGCAGATATGATTGCGTTGCATGTTCTATCTTTCATGGCTGACGTCATGTACATTATTACGTTATATTTCTAAAGTGCATGTTTACCTGCAGTCATGTGCAAAAGTATAGGCACCCCAGTCAAATTCCAAGTTTCACTGTCAAAATAAGTTAACACAAAATAAGTTAACACATTCTGTACAGAGAACACACTTCTGCACAATTCAAATGCACAGTGACTGTTTATTTGCTGAATTTAACATACTGGAGCAAAAAATCCTGCGCAAAAGTCACTGCACACTTCATAGTCTATTTTTTTTCTCAAATAAACAAGTAAGGAATTGTGCACTATAATAAGCAATGTTTAAGTTTGCTCCCTGTAGAGGATGTTTTAACTTTTTTTCCTCAACAAAACATATAATTTAACCAGGGGTGTTCAAACTTTTGCATATGACTGGACATTTCCACTGTCTGGTAAAGAAGGCTCAGAGTTTAATGTTCTTTTGCTCAGGCTTTGCTGTCTTGATGTACATATTGCTTAGGTCTAATGAGTTCTCTCAGGTGTGGTTTTGGGTTACCTGTCTTTAATGCATTTGGTGATGAGGCTGGCGAGGTCTCCACCCTCGCAGTACTCCATCACTATATACAGTGTTGTGTTTGTGCGGTCTATGATGCGGTCGTAGTATCTGACGATGTTGGGGTGCTTCAGCTCTCGGAGGAGGTTCACCTCAGACACCAGCATCTGCTTCTCCGCCTCCGCCATGGTACCGTAATCCAGCTCCTTCCACACCAGAATCTGACAAACGAAAGGTTTCAGGTTACTTACGGCAGGGTTTTTCAATCTGGTCCTCAGGGACCCCCAGCCAGTGCATGTTTGTATTCGGTTCCAGCTCCAAGCACACCTGAGCCAGGTAACCACAGACTGGAGACATTGATTACCTGCTTCAGGTGTTAGGTTTCTGCAGAACACAATTAAACATGGACTAGCTGAGGGGATCCAAGAACTACTGTTCACCTTTATTTAGCTATAAAACACAACATTAGCAAAATATGACAAAACTGCAACATGTAGTTTAGTTTGTTAATTATTAGATTCTAGATCTAATTCATGCATAAATCTCAATAATACATGTTGAAGTGGGGAAAGGTCTGGCTCAATACATAAGATTTCTATACTAGAAAACAAATAGACAAAAACAGACGATTTACAAATTAAAGGGGAATGACACCAAATTTGCTTTTTACAAAAGTCATTACATTTTGTTTACATAATTATAATACTAACAAAGTCATTTAGAGTGGTTTGATGTGAAGTACACAATTCTAGAGAAACTTACCGAGTCAGAATTGGTGAGTTTTTTATATCTAAGATATAGGAGGGGTATATCATGAATTTTACAATGGCTTCGATTGTAGGACCAGAACTATGCGTTTTATAATGAAAGTTTTTCCTCTTATGCTCTTTTCCAGCACACTCTAAAAAGTAATGTGTAAATAACCACACACTAACTCGTGTTACCCATCTTAACACTTATGTCATATTGTTTTATCATTTAACACACTGTATGTTAAAAATAACCCAAAATGCCTTATCCATAAACGGATGTCAAAACATTTCAACACATTTTGTGTTAACCATTTACGCACAACACGCATCAAAGGCAAGCTTTTTTTATTTTCTATATCTTTGCAGTAGATTGAAGCAAAAGGTGCACATCCAAACTTTACATTTAACCTGAGTGTATGCACAAAAATCTTGCAAAAAGAATTATGTTTAAATATTAGAAAAACGAAAGTTAGTTAACAGAAACAAAGAAAACCACTAAGAATGCTGGGAAGTTTTTTGGGCAAAAGACTCTTCAGTCTGTAGGACTGAACTGAATCTAACTAGCTTTACACGCATAACTAAGGATCAATAAGGATTAAATGAGAAACAGTGGGTGTTACTAGATTTGTATTCGTCATCTTAACAAACAAACAAATAAATAAACCAAAATAAAAATAAGCTGTGCAGTTTATGCTGCACAGCGCTGCTGTACTGACTGGAACTTTTTATATAGAACGGTGGTTTATGTTTGCGATTACGTCATCGATGACGTCACAGCCTAGTTATAAACAGAGGCTGCAGATGAATTTTTTTCTCACTTCGACTTGTGTCGGCGTGAGTTTACTGAGCAAACATGAGTGTTTCGCGATGGCAGCGATAATATCTTTTGAAGATGCGGTTGTGGAAAACGACTCCAGTGCAAAAAGACGAAATCTGTCAGTTAGGAGAGGAACTGGGAGACGAGATAGACTGGAATGATGTGTCAGTGACAGAGGAAAAATGGAAGGAACATAAACAAAAGAACAGAAAGCTGTGGAATGACTTCAGAAAGCTGTGTAAGGCCGAGGCGCAGAAAGCCGTGAAGAAAATGACAGCACCACTTTGGAAAAAGATACTAACCTAGATGTGCAAACAGACGAAATCTGTCAGTCAGGAGAGGAACTAGGAGACGAGATGGACACATTCACATATAAAACAAAGAGGCTCCCCTTGACCTGTATGAGCAACACAATGTCCTACTGAAAATGCACCGTCCTTACAATGTAGAAAAATGGACTAATGTAGTTATGTTCCATATTATTGAACGGAGGTCCCCTAGCGTTTGTTATGGGGGATTCAATTTCACTTCATATCCTTTCTACTTGCGACCGCAGTACATTCCCCGTTTAAGATCATACAGCACGTAATTGTGCTTATAATGCCCAAGTTTAACTTGAATACTTAAACTGCATTAAACATTTGACTAGTATTGATTTGAAAAAAAAATACACAATAAAAATACGAACCGTTACCAGTAACGGTTTTATTTTCACTGTTCTTATTTGTTAGCCAAGGTATTGCTAGTTAGCTGTGTCTTCTGAACTTAACTTTAAAGCATTAGCAGGCCAGCTACACTGCCTTAGAATTTATATTGCTTCCTTACATGTTTGTAATGACTAGTTTACAGCATTAATTAATACTCTCATGAGAATTTAATATAACTACGTAGTAGTAAACGTAGTTTGTGCACTCTGTGGAATTCATTGTCTGTGATAAAATTGGTCGTTTCGTGACCCCTGGTCCCCTATCAGGTATCTACAATCAACCATTTCACACCAAACCACTCTGAGTCATTCGGTTTACATCTCCATTAGTGAATTATGTAATTTTTTTAAAAAAATCCGTGGACTTCCCCTTCGTCACCCGTTTGTGTGTACAGTAGAAAAGGTGAGTTTCCCTGGTGATTAACTTAACTGAACGCTGCTGGTTAGTCAGTTAACTATAATAGAGGACAACAGAAACACTCAGCAGGGTTACTGAGAGCCCCTCGGTGGAAATAGTTAAAGATAGTTAAATGTTAAATAATGGTAACATTAAATATGAAGTGTTGGTTTACCTTTCCGTCCGATTTCCTCCTTATTTTCTGGCATTTTCCGTACGAGCCGGAGCCGATAGTGCTCAGCACCTCATACTGCTCCGTATGTGAGGGCATTATGCAGAGTAAACTAACATCCAGCACAGATCAGCTGTAAATCTGCCTCTCCGACTCACTTTATTACCGCTTAAAACTGGTAAAATCGCTGTAACGCCGTTACTGCAGCGTCCTCAACACCAAGCGGTTTAAAACTGCCACTCAATCTCTGTGACCTGATTGGCTGAGAGCGCCACTCTGAAGACGATTTCATTGGCTGAGAGCGGCTAACACGGCGGCCGTTGCCTAGCGACACCAATCAGATTTTGAGGGGGGGAGGAGGCGTGACGTCCACTTAAAGGAGCCGCGAACGGAAGAGAACAATCATCCGGGTCACTGAGGCGCTTAGTATTAAAGAGCAGGCCTCAAATAAAAACTCAATAAAACAATGATAAACATTTAAAATGATATCCACCACATTCAGCAGTTCTTTTAAATGTCCAGTAGTATTGTGTCAAGGTAACTACTTGTTTGCTTGTTTATGCTTGTTGCTGAACAGCTTCATCAATCTGAACTGGAAACACACAAGATGCCATAACATTAAAACCCCCTCCTTTCATCTACACACTGTCCATTTTATCAGTTGTAATTCTACAGTTACAGACTGTAGTCCATCTGTTTCTCTGCTTACTTTGTTACCCTGTTCTTCAGTGGTCATGACCCCCACAGGCCCACCATAGAGCAGGTATTATTTGGGTGGCACATCATTCTCAGCACTGCAGTGACACTGACATGATGGTGTGTTAGTGTTTTTAAACACTGTGCCCACTCACTGTCCACTCTATTAGACACTCCTACCTTGCTGGTCCACCTTGTAGATGTAAGGTCAGAGATGACAGCTCATCTGTTGCTGCACAGTTTGTGTTGGTCATCCTCTAGTCCTTCATCAGTGGTCACAGGATGCTGCTGGCTGGATGTTTTTGGCTGGTGGACTATTGTCAGTCCAGCAGTGACACTGACGTGTTTAAAAATTTATCTTGAAGGTGGCAGGAACTTTTAAAAACTATAATTGCTTTGGGGTGGATTTTTGACAGTAGGTCGTTCAGAATTTTTAAGTTACATTCATTCTAGGAAGCCATATATTTTATTGCAGCCTTATAACTGTCATTACAGTGGACAGAATAACAGAAATGACTGATCAGATGAGGAGGAAAAGAAGCTAAATGCTAATGTTAGCAAATTAGCAAGGGTACCTATGTAGCTAGATATTTAACCTTAGTTTTGGGTTCTTTTCTCTGGATGAAAGTGTAAAGACTCACCTCCGGTGCCCATTGTGTGCCAAATAATACACAATTTATATTTTTTAAAGTTTTGTTTAACAGCCAAGGCAGGAGAATTTATGAACAAAAGTGAACTGATGAACAAAAACATGAACAGCTATAAAATTGTAAATTCTGTTAAACTGGAGAGGCTGAGTGATCTAATGCTGCACTAAACCTACTAAAAAACAAATAACGTATTAAATTCTAGTTTTAGGCCAGATCGTCCCAGTAAAACTCCAATTACATGATGGGCCAGAGTACCTGAACTTTTAAAGTTTTTTTTAGCTTCCTGATTTTCTCAGTCCAGGCTTTTATACAACAGAGATTAGTAAATTTCTTTGGACTGTTGCGTACCTATACCTATAGACTATTTTGCCTTTACTGCAAAACTTGTATTCCTTGTATTTACAGTAGAAGGAAAAAAACATTAACTTATAATGGGAGTTATTGTAAAACAGCAAGAGAAAAATTTTAAGTAAATTTAATCTGTTTGTATTAGTCTGTTTATCAGGAGTTCTTCACACAATGCAAATGGTAGCCAGACTTTTCAAACTGTTTAAAAAGGTAAAAAACATAAATATGGAGATATAAGCTTTTCAAGTTGGAGCAGCAATATACTAACTTTTCACAATACCCATGAAAAGCTTGAATAAAACGGGCCATTTTTCTTAATTAAAACAAATCAGCCTCTTATTAACCTCAATATAATTATCAACATACTCAGTATATTGAAAACACTTTCATGTGTGAGATCCAAAGGCATCAGACTCAAAGATATAGGAGGGCCAAAAGAAGGACTTTACTCATTTACTTTAAATGAGACGCTTGCTCAGATAAAGAAGTCAGGAGGCATAAAGCTCATTAACACAGACACATCTAAACAGCTTCACACTCAGACACTTCAGGGTTAATTGATATTTATCGTTTTTATTCCAGCACAATTAGATTCTGTGTCATAAAATGGCTGGGCAGCTAGGAAGAGAGGGGGAAACAGGAGTACAAAATGAAAACTAAAGACCGTTCTAATGTAATTTGTTAAAATTCCTAATCCCACCCACCCTCCCCTCACAAAACGTGCCCCCCTAAAACTGCCCCCCCCTTCATCTTTCCCCAGAGGAAAGACGGTGACGACAGAGCGTGGCCTGATCACTCCTTCCTCTCTCAGATCGGAAGAAAGTTCCAGAACGTTTCCCAGCATGCCTTGAATGCTTTCCGCAATCTTCTTTCCTGCATCATACACATTTCAGTCTTCAGCAAGCTGGGGAAAAAAAAAATCAACAAAAACAAAATACAAGCCCACAAAACAGCAATGATTAGGAAATGACAATTACGGTACCCAGTGTGGATCTACTGATTGGTCTACTGGTTTGTACAGCTGAGTTATTGTGGGCGTCTTGGCGGACGTGCTTTTATTGCTGGACCGTGCCCGAATTCCCTTTCAGTGGAGCCACAAGGGTTACAAGCCCAGGGGCTCGGGGCGCTGCCTTTCATATTACAGTCCTGTTTCAGGGGACGAACAAAAGAAAAAAGCTTACAGACATGAGTTACAGTCATAAGGGAAATATCTCCTCAGCAATGGAAGCAGGACTTATCCATTATTAGCCAAGTGGTTACATCTACTGTAAATAGGCAGCTCTGTCCTAATAGTTCTGCAGTAATAATAAAAAACTTCCTTTCTCTTTTCATTTAAAACGGCTTAAAATGATAGTTTCACGAAAAATCATATTTACACAGTTTCACCTCTCTTGGCCCAAATGCAGTCGATCAGATAAGACGTGTTTGGTGTGCGCTTCTTTAGCTTTAGCACTGAAGCTACGTGGCTAATGTGTGTTTTTATGAACTGTACATATGAAGAGAGTACAGGTTTAATCAAGCAGTAAGAAAAGAAACATGACTGGATATCATTAGCCCTTATGAGTGAAAAATCAGACCCTGGTCATTTATAATAACTAGAATAGTTCTTACTGCAGTTAACATTTTTCCCGTCTCTCATTTCATTTAATATAGGCTGTGTAGTCCATACGAATATCAAATAATAAATAAGATATGTATCAATCATCGGCAAAAGTCTGCAAAATAATGAAATACAAGTTTTATACTGAAGCCTGAACTTTGTCAGTACTTTTGTCCAGGTTTATAAATAACAGTGAGTCAGTGTGAACCACTGTAGTTAGCATTATGCTAATGGTGGGGTATAAGCTTCCATTATTTGTTAGCTATATTAGCCTCATTGGCCTTCAAACAAAAGAAGCCACATTTTTATTTGTTGTCTTGGCTGAGTGACATGTTTGGGGTCTACAGTTTGCTTAGCAGTGGAGCTACAAAGGCTAACATCCATTGTTATTGATAACAGTATGTCATAGTGTCAAGCTGCAAAAATGTATATCTTGGCAAGCGGGCTCCTCTTAAATCTAGAAAAGATTATTTCTAGTCATGTTTTACTTTATTATTTTACCTAATGGTCATGCCAATAGAATGTTATTTTACTAGATAAAATTTGAGTATAAACGTCTAGACATAAGTTAAATAATCTCATAATATTCTTACAGCAATCTCAATGAGAAATAGTAGATATATTGACTGCATTTAAGAGCATTTCACTTGCTGAAAGATTATTTTATTGCAGTTTCAGGAACCGCATATACTGCTGGAACAAAACCATGCTTCTGAATTTTGTACACAAGCTGCCGTTTACATTATCAAAATTTCAGGATGAACGGATCAAAAGAAACAATCCCAAACAACTTGGGATAAAATCTTACATTCCTTCTCCAGTGAAGTTACTATGTTGGATACATGAGGTTTTGTTCAGACAGTGATTAAATCTGTTTGAGATTATTTACACGGTTTGTGGCAAGAGATGGTTTAGGCCTGGTGTTAGCCCCATGCCAATTGGTGGGGTATGAGCTTCCATTATTTGTTAACTACATTAGCCTCCAGTGCTAAAACTAAAAAAGCGAACCTAAGACCGACTACAGGGTGGAAACTGGGCGTTTGATTTTTTGCTGAACTATCGCTTTAACAGACTGCAGTAACAGGGCAGACATACAGGCTACAGCAACTGGTCAAGGTAAGCAAGCTTTATGGAGCATTACTGCTTTGGTTCCTATGTCAGCTGAAAGAAGGATGCTTCTGACTGCTTGGTATTAGTAATACACCCAGATACGGAGAGAGAAACATCTAGAAAACATCAGAAGTACGTGAGGTGCATTGTTATCTCTTGTTTTTTCCCCTCTTTCCTTAACATTCATGATATTTCAAAACTAAAATCAGACTGCAATGTTGCTGAAACGCTGCACGAACATGGGTTCTACCTCGGAGTTTGTTATGTACAAGACTAAATGTAATTTGGGGGAAAAAAAAACAAACAGAACCAAATAAAATCTCCATCGATAAAGAGTGATTTTTTTGCCAACACTCTGATATAACATACAGCAATCAGACATTGATTATATGCATCTAAAAAGAAAATAAAAAAAAAGAAAAGAAAAAAAAGGAAAAATTTGTCGCACGCTCACTTCGGCAGGTTACGCTGTTATAAATTTACAGTAATGACACCTGTAAGCCTAATTTTTTTCTCTTTTTTTCCTATATTCTTTGCAGAATGCTGCATTTCAACATTACTCAGTCATTCATCCATTCAGAAGAGTCAGACCTTCTCCATCAGCCTTCAGACACTAAGCATATGGCTTAATTATATCTGTAAAACACCAAAATATATTTAGACTAGGGTGAGAGAGGCGCGTACGTCGACTCCGCAGCTTCTCTACTAGCAGTTCAGTGAGTACTCCGATGTCTCTGCGTGTTTATGTATGCGGTAGAGGGGAACAAATGAGGTCCCCCCTCCACTGAGTTAGCAGTTAGCCATCAGTCAATCAGCGACGGGCTGATCTCCGTGTCCTCCGTCCGACGGGCGGCCAGTGTAAACATGAACAACCATTCAGTCGGCTCTCGCAATACTGTCTACGCACGAGACACGAGAAATTTTAGCGCACGGACGAACACAGGACAAACACCGACGAAAAAATTATTAAAAAAACAAAACAAAAACGTAAGCAGAACGCACACGACAGGGCTGTTTCCACGGATACAGGACAGGCGGTACAGATCTATAGTGCAATGAAAGTCCAGAGGACGATCTGTGGAGGTTCCCCTCGTCTTCAGTCTCAGTGTACGGAGGGCGAAAAGAGATGGGGAAAAAAAGAAAGATGAAAGATCCTTTGGAAGCTCTTCTCAATGTACAGAAGAGAACAAGAGAAGAGCGAGCGGGTTAGTGTTACCCACAGCAGAAAACAAATAAAAAAAAGGGGGGGGTAAAAATGTCTGAAACTCTATCTGGCTTATTCCTGAGCCTAATTTTTGATTGTAGTTAAAATAAAAAAATGTGTCCACATGTGCATGAGTAAACATTTAGACGTGCATAATATATAATATATGTATGTATGTTTGCATGTGTGTAGGTATGCATGTGTAAACATGATGTCATCTCTTCCTACATATTTAGTGGTGGGTGCGAATGTATATTGCAGGGCTGTCTATATTGTGTTTGTGAATCCGGGTCGGAGTTTAGGGTTTAGGGTCAAATACAACAAACGCAGATGCCGTTCCGTATTGCCTCCACATTTTGCAAACGTCCACTCTGCCATCCGTCCAGTGAAGACTGTTTCTGGGGCTGTTTAACAGATCCAAGGTCAACTCAAGGTCAGCAGCTATGGCCCCTTCCTTTTTTTCTTTTTTCACCCTCCACGTTGCTCCCCCCTCTCTCTCCCTCTCTCTCTCCCCCCCTCATCTTTCTCTTGTTTTCTTCCTCACCACAGCAGGGAGAAGAACCAGCAGTAGATGTGCTGTAGGATGTTGTACCACATGTAGCCAGAGACGAAGGCAAACGATTGGACAGCGCAGAGCCACACAGGGTTGAGGGTCATCTCTCGGGAAACTGCCTCCTTCTGTCCCTTCGGTGGAGGGAACGCTCCTTCAAAACACAATGAGGGCATAACCGTAGGAGATTATAAATCTGTTTAATTCATAGCCGTTACTAAATAATTTATAATAGATACTGAATAATTCATAATAGATACTGAATAATTCATAGTACAACCCCATTTCCAAAAAGGTTGGGATGCTCTGCAAAATGTAAATAAAAACAAAATGCAATGATGTGCAGATCATTTAACCCCTATTTGTAATTGAAAATAATACAAACACAACATACCAAATGTTGAAACTGAGAAATATTAGTTTTTTTTTAAAATATGTTCATTTTGAATTTGATGCCAACAACACGTTCCAAAAAGGTTGGGACAGGGGCAACAAAAGGCTGGTAAAATGAAATCCGCTGTCTGTGAACAAAGTTTGTCGCTGCATCCACAAATGCAAGTTAAAACTCTAAAAAGCAAAGAAGAAACCATATATAAACAGGATCCAGAAATGCTGCCACCTTCTCTGGGCCTGAGCTCATTTAAAATGGACTGAGGGGAAGTGGAAAAGTGACAAATCAACATTTGAAATTCTTTTTGGAAATCATGGACACTGTGTCCTCTGGACTAAAGACCACTCAGCTTGTTATCAGTGCACAGTTCAAAAGCCAGTATTCATGATGGTATAGGGGTCCATTAGTGCACTTGGCATGGGTGACGTGCACTTCTGTGAAGGCACCATTAATGCTGAATGATATATACATGTTTTGGCAACATATACTACCATACAGACTTTTTCAGGAAAGGCCTTGATTATTTCAGCAAGACAATGCCAAACCACATTCTATATGTATTACAGCAGCATGGCTCTGTATTAAAAGAGTCTAGTCGCTAAACTGACCTGCCTGCAGTCCAGACCTGTCACCACTGAAACCATTTGGCGCATTATGAAATGAAAAATACAAAAAATGAAACCCTGAACTGTTGAGCAGCTGAAATCCTATATCAAACAAGAACAGGAAAACATATCACTTTCAAAACTACAGCAGTGTCTCCTCAGTTCCCAAACGCTTACAGAGTGTTGTTAAAGAAGAGGTGATGAAACACAGTGGTAAACATGCCCCTAACCCAACTTTTTTGGAACGTGTTGTTGGCATTAAATTTAAAATGGGCATATATTTTTCAAAAAACACTAAAATTTCTCAGTTTCAATATCTGATATGTTGTCTTTGTAGTATTTTGCTTTAAAAACATGGTTTACATGATTTGCATATCATTGCATTCTATTTTTATTTAGATTCTGCACAGCGTCCCAACTATTTTGGAAATGGGGTTGTAGAGTAGTAGATACTGAATAATTCATAGCGGATACAGAACAATTCATAGTAGATACTGAAAAATTCGTAGTAGAAACGTACAAATTCATAGTAGAAACTGTATAATTCATATTGGATACTAAATAATTCATAGACGTTACTGAATAATTTATAACAAATACTAAATTATTAATAATAGATACTAAATAATTCACAGTAGATACCGAATAATTCAAAATGGATAGATACTGAATAGTTCATAGTAGATACTGATAGTAGATACTGAATAATTCATGGATGTTACTGAATAATTCACAGATGTAAATACTAAATAATTCATAGTAAATACTGAATAATTCATAGTGGATACAGAACAATTCATAGTAGAAACTGAATAATTCATAGTGGTGACTGAACAGTTCAGAGTGGTTACTGAATAATTCATAGACGTTACTGAGTATTTCATAGCAGATACTGAATAATTCACAGAAGTAAATACTGAATAATTCATAGTGAATACAGAACAATTCATAGTAGATACTAAATAATTCATAGGAGATTCTAAATAATCAATAGCAGTTACTGACTAATAAGTCTGCAACTTATGGGTTAATTATAAAGGAATCTTTTAGATCCAGATTTCTCACCTGTCTGGTAGAAATGGGCCAGAAGTTCCTCTTTCTCCACAAATCTCTGATAGAGCCAGTCTGTCAGAGCCTCCGTCTCCACTGGGACATCTTTTATGGCGTATGTCCTGGGAAAAAAAAACACACAAAGAGGCATATTAGATATCAGAGTCTGACCGAGAAATCGCTTAGCTGATCAAATCGGCTAGTAGTGAGGTGCCACAGATTTACTGGCATCTGCGGAAACCCTGCAGATACTGTACCGATAATGACTCTTTAAACGTCTATTAAGGAATTATGCTACTTTTAATGACAACCAAGCACACGTTACTGTCACAGGAACTTTGGTTTGAAAGTTCAACACTGGACAGTTCTAAATGGACTGGTTTAGGTATGTTTCTACATTGATTGGATTATATTTTTGACTGACAATTTGGCTGAACCTTATATTCAACAAAGATATTAGTAAAGCACTCTGTAACTAAACCCATTGATTTTGTTTAATCTTTGACCATATAAAAGGTTAATACAACAGTTAATACTATCGCTTATCTAAATCAGACTTAGTGACAAGTTGATCAGCTCAAAATGGCCTACAAAAATTCTTACCTCACTTAATATGCATAATCAAGAATTCCACTGTTATTACTATAGCTGCTATATCTTGTTTCTGTTTGTTGTTAATGTCTTAAAGGGCTGATATCCTACATACCCCACTTCCCCCCCGGTCTGATTGGCTGCCTTGTATTGTGCCTCATTTAAAAAGCACTCCATGCTGAAACACTCCTTATAACTTCAGTTTGAATGGACACAAAATTGTTGGCTCTATAGGTGGACGTATCTAAAAGCACTGGATTTTGCAACATCAAAAAAGTACTGAATTGTGTTTCTGAAGCTTAGTTTCCATAAAGGGACTGTATATTACAAACCAAACTATTTTTTGAAAGTAAGGAAAATTCTGTTTTCCATGATACAGGCTCTTTAATGTATTTATTCTGCTCACTGTAGTTGATAGCTAAAAAAAATAAATAAACACAGAAGCTCAGCAGAGTGAATCCACCAACAGAGCAGGCAGAAGCAGAAACACTGAGTCATTGACCGCTCTGTTTGGAGGAGATAAAATCCAGCGGGTCAGTGAGTGATTAGCTGAAGCAGCTCTGGACCGTGCTCAGCCTCCAGCCCTTTTTAAAAGAATGCTAAGCCTCAGTATTTCTGCTGATTTCTGCTGGCCATTCCAATAGCTGCTGCGTGAACAGCTTGAGGAAATGCAGTCGCGGCACTGCAGGAAGTGCTGAGGAGGAATTACACACGGTGGCTAACGGGCCGCTAACACAGTGACCGCCTCCATCATCAACATTCAGCAGCAGAGTGGAAAACGATACATATAACAACATGAAATCTGTAAACCTAACAGGAACAATATATACACTGTGTGGCCAAAACAAAAACATGTAAAGAGACAGACTGAAGTTTTCCCTTCAAATGAATGACCGAATGACCTCATGTTTGATGGAACCATGTGGTTAGTCATACACTGCAAGACTAAAAGAAATACATAAGGATGCACACCGCAACATAATGTTAATGATTAATAATAATTCTCATAACTCATATTAAAGGAGAATTCCACCAATTTTTAAAACTTCTCCATAATTCAGTGGTAGAGACATAAAAGGCTCAGAGTGGTTTGGTGTGAAATTCTTTGTTCTAGAGAAACTTACCAAGTCAGAATTGTTCACAGTGGTGGTGATGAGAACCAGATGTCCACCTCTAAAAGCTCCCTTACAGAAAGTTATTACATAAAATGGTTATGAGCACTGCTTAATGTCTGAGACACTGTTTTACGATAGTTTTGTGGTAAAATAAATTCATAGCAGATATGTTTTTTCTATACCCCTTGTCCCTATCACCACCACTGTAAAGAATTCTCTACAGTGAACCATTTCACACCAAACCACTCTGAATAACATCTCAACCACTAAATTATACAAACATTAAAAAAGTGGAATTTCCCTTTAACTATGAATGGAGATTATTTCGTAACTAATATTAACTAACCATAAAGTCTCCATAAGCAATCACTGGCAATAGAACTGGCTGCAATTAAGAGCTCAGTGCTCAGATAATCAAATTTCTGCCCTGCTAGAGCTGCCCAAGTCAACTGTCCGTGCTGTTCTAGAGCAGTGGATATGTCTAGGATCAAAAACAGCCCAGCAGTGGGCCACGGAAGTTCACAAAACAGCCCAGAGATAAAAGGATGCAGGACAGTCTCACGGCTAATGGAAAAACAACGAAAATCAGACAGAGTCTGGGTTCTGAGTGTTCATCCCTGCCAGAGGTATTTAAGAAAGACTGTGATGTAGGCTGTAACCTACATACTGTTGTATGTATGTTGTAGGTTTGGTCAGTCTTTGTCAATTTCACGCCAAATAAGCCTTAAAAGTTTGCAACCTCCTGTAATAAAATCCTGTAAATATTACTCTACCTGATAAGCCAGCATGGTTCTTTCTCTTCTGATGTTGCCTTTGCTGGTGTTCTGCTGAATCCCTGGCACAATCAAACTCCCCTCTGCATGCATGTGCATCATGCAGGCATTTGGATGCTACAGTTTACACCCTCAATTTCTGTTATTTACACATGGCAACTACCGTAATCGCGAGTGTAATCTTTATGCTTGCGTGACACATGCACACAAAGTGGAGTCGTATTCTGTATCCTTGAGCTCATCAACAAATGCACATGTATGGCCGTCCATGAGGGGGGCTCACAGTGCAATTTGAATTTACAACAGTGGTGTAACAGAAATATACTCTGCAACTGTAGGGGGAACCCAAGAGCAAAAAACTACAAATTCTCACATAATGCTGCTTTAAAAGGAAAAAAGCTACACTTGGGCCTCAAGCAAAATGGTAAGTGTCGTGACCGACGACAGGTGCCAACAGGCAGTGTTGGCACCTGTTAAAGGGCTCCACAAAAATATAACAAAAAAATACCAATCAGTCAAAATCATTCAGCCTCTGCAATCTGAATAAGCACAGCTTTAATTACGATCTTGTATTTGATTAAATGGTCTCTGCATGACGCTAATCAGATGAAAGTGCGCTCTAACGGATGTTTACTGCACACAGACGAATATCAGCTGTTTCTGCTGACGGTGTTTGTAAGCATTGTGACAAATCACGGCTGTTTTCACAGCCTGACAAAAATCACTGGCATTTCCGCAGTGTGTGACCAGGCCGCGTACTGAAACAGACAGGCTGCAATTAATGCACTCAACACTGCTTAAAATAATCTGGACTGAACAGTTTCCACCAAAGGACAGCTTTGTGTTAATATATGGACATGTACAATAAAGGAGCACTTTGTAGTTCTACAATTCACAAAGTCCATCTGTTTCTCTGTATACTTTGTTACTCTGTTCTCCAATGGTCAGGACCCCCACAGGACCACCACAGAGCAAGTATTATTTGGGTGGTGCATCATTCTCAGCACTGCAGTGACATGGCTGGTTGTCATATATGTCTGTGTGTTTCTGAGCAAAATAGAAAGAAATACACACAGACTCGCATACATACTAGCACACACATATACACATATTAGAAACCACCAGGGATATCATAGCAATGGCCTAGCAACACCTTAGCAACCACATGGGATACCACAACTACAGCCTAATAACACCTTAACCCCCTGGATATTACAGCAACAGCCTAGCGACACCTCAGCAACCACCTGGGATACCACAGCAACACCTTAGCAACCACCTGGGATACCAGAGCAACAGCATAGCAACACCTTAGCAACCACCTTGGGTACCACAAATACAGGCCATAGTCCATCCGTTTCTCTGCATACTTTGTTACCCTTATCTTCAACGGTCAGGACCCCCACAGGACCCCCACAGAGCAGGTTTTATTTGGGTGATGGATCATTCTCAGCACTGCAGTGACATGGTTGATTGTCATATATGTCTGCGTGTGTTTCTTTCTGAGAGCAACAACAATTTGATGCCCTTCGCATTGTGTCAATATTTCCAATAGAAATGGAGACGGACCATTAGAGATGTATTTTTATTTTTCCTTCTCCTACAAAAGTATCAATTTGGAGATAAGAGATTTGTTCTGACATAAATAAGCTGTTAATTTTCATATTAGAGTTTTTTTTCCCCCAAAACAACAAAACGTTATTATGTAATATACCGTACATAGAATTATTTATATATGGTAATTTTTTGGTAAGTTTTTGGTCTCGATTTTATTCCTCACTTCTTAAATATGAGCCATTTTCAATGCCTTCACACAACTTCATACTCAACAACAACTCATTTATTAAGAGATCTTCTACAGCTCTGTTCATCACTGGATGCATCTCATCATACATTTCATTTTTTCAAAATGTTATTAAAAAAAGTGAAGACAAAGTTTTGGAATGTGATTCAAACATTGAACACTAGTGTGTGTATGCAGATATGTGTAGAGCCGGGGGCTCAAGTGCTGTTTTAATCCCACCAGAATACTGTAGGTGTGAGTGTTTAGCGCAGAGTCTGCCAGCAGGGGTCTCCACTGAATCTGACTCAGAGACACTCAAATCACCTTCAGACTGACTAGAGGTTATACTCTCCTCTGAAGAACAAACCCATCCGCACTAACGCAATAACGGCACGCGCTCCACTAAACAGGACACAGGAGGGCTCGTCCACCATCAGAGAGACACACAGCAACAATCAACACTGCTCTGATAAAGCAGGCGACATATTAAATATAACACAAACTAGGGGTGCAATGATGCATATTTTCAGGTCTGCAATGTTTTTTTGATTCTGAGGTCTAGATCTGATTTAATGTGTTAATGTTTTGAGTCTATAGAGCTCTAATTATAATTATATTCTACACAGGCTGGTTTGGCTCTCATCAACAAAAGTTCTCTAAGAGAACATTTTCAATATCCTCTAACAAAATAAACCCCAAAATCACAACATCTGGAAGTAATATACTCTGCTGATGTCATTTGTGTGTGGATGTGCCCAGAACATAAGCCCCGCCCCCTCCCCACCCACTTTAATCTGACAGGGCTGCAACCAGATGTAGGGCTGATTTGAATAAATTATGTAATTCTGATTTTTTGACCA